AAAAAATAAAAAAAGCTTAAAACTAAAGTGTAGTGCAATATGCTCAAAGCAGCAGTGCTGAAAGAGAAATCTACTTATCTAAAATAATGTAACAGGAGAAGGTGAATTGTGTGAATAAAACATGATTTTTTTTAATATACCGTTGTCCTTCAACATTTTGACAAAATTGAGGGAACTCTCCTTATCCCACTACGAAGGTTAGGAAAGATGGTTAGGGATGAGGAATCTACATGTTAATAGCAATGCAGCATTTTGCTCAGCCATGCTGATATTTTTAAAAATGGTCTCACCGTTTCTGGATTTTTTTGAAATTTTTTTTGGACACCACCACAACCACAATATAAAAAAGACCACCACCACACCACTTTTTTGGAAAGAGGAAGGAGGAGGTAGACAATACTCAAAAAACGAAAATACTCGGGTTTTAACAATACTACATTTACCTCAAAAAAATGTAATGCTTTGGTAATAGGTATAGACATGCAACATATGGGTTTTAACATCCTTTGATTTTTATGAAAAGGGTGTATAATATTAATAAAAGTTACTTAATAAGCTGTTTCTTCTTTCAAAAAAATATGTGTTATAATGAAATGTGAAAAATTCAATTAAGCTAAATATTGTTGATAATAGACAATTTTAAGTAATATATATTTATTCTGGTTATCAATTGCGTAATTTTTAAAGTAAACAGTATTTTTTTGTGCCTTACGATCAAACTATTTATTCCAACAAATCTAATTATTTTATTCATACCTAACTGACTATTTTTTGAAGAGTAGAAATTTAAAAGTATCTTATAAGGTATTTAAAAAGAATATAATTAGTCATTCAATGCTTTATAATAATTATTAATAATGCACAATAAATTTAAAATGTATATTTTTGTATGTTTATTGTTAAGAAACAATATTAATGCATCAGACTAATTTAAAAAAAAATAATTTTCTTGCGTTTTTGTTCTGCTTTTTTTCAAGAGATAAATGCAGTGTACAGTTCTAGAATAAATTGTTTTTTGAATATTGCATCTTGAAACATAAAATTGTCTTAAATAAAATTTATTTATTCAATTATTACAAAATAACCGAATCTTTTTTATGTTTTTAAATAAGTAATATGAAAATGTATAATTATAACATCTAACTATGTAATTTAAGGTCTAAGTAGATTACATTAGGGATGGAAATTTTTTAGGGTAGAACTGACGACAGCTCAACTGTTGATGTCATTTTGGGCCGCCATCTTCATGTGATTCCTTCTTAGTTCTGCCTGTGGTGGCAAAAAAATAGACAAATCAAAATTCAAGTCCAAGATCTCCTTCTTGGTTGCTTTTTGCAAAGGCTTTCGTGAACAAGCGGAATATGTAAATTAAAGCATTATTTTAATATATTCTAATTTTGGTGATTTTAATCTGATTAACGAAGCTTTATTTCCAAAAGTATCTCACCTCTATAATGCGTATTACCAGTTTAAAATACTCGCCTAAGAAAACGGTAAGAACTTAAGTTTATAATTTATAAGGTTCCGAACATTCTAGTATAAATAAAAAACCTTAAGAATTTTTTTTCAGAAAACTGAGGGAGAGATTACTTCATAAATCAGTACTAGTGCCAATTTCTGAATTTATTTCAATTTGATGAGCGAGAATGATAGGCAACCTATTTGATAAAGTAGAAAAAATCATGAATTTTTAATTTAAAAATTATTTCCAATGACATACTAAATTTGTTAAACTTTCATGAAATTTTAACAATTATTTTTGAATTAAAACCAAGGTACTAGGCAAATTAGAGAGCTTAGTAACCAAAAAATTTTAGAAAGTTATAATCAAATAAGATATAATTAAAAATAGTGCCTTAATTTTACAACCTTTTTTGATTGTATAATATTCTACTTTATATTTTAATTATCTAAAATTTATTTGTATCTTAAATACACCGTAAATGTTTTACTCAGTATCTAATAGTCCTTCCATGTATCAACAAGCAACTCGATTGATAGATGGCAGCACAATTACATAGTGCGTTTTCATGTAATTACTTTGGTAAACAAGTACTTAGTTGAAAAACCAGTATGTTTAAAATACAAAACTAAATTCTGATAATCGGCAAACTATCTATTGGCTAAAGCACATAAAAACAATTAGGAAATTGAGAGATAAGGAAAGCCCTCAGTCCGCCATTGGAAGACAAGAACACAAAAACACTAGACAGAAACAAATGATTCTTCATCCAGCACGTACTTTTCTTCGAAATCCATTGAGGTATTTACCCACATCAACAATAATACAACCCCGAGTTGAATTTGAATGTGAGTAATGTTTTTATGCAAATTAAACTACGTTTACAGATTTATTCAATTTCAAAATGTTATAGAATGCTTTTTTTATTACGATGAATTTATTATCAATAAGTATCAATTTTAAAATTATACCTATTCAGATTTTGAGGATAGCTTGACATTTTACCATGTTTCTTAAAAGCTGTTAGTTCATTTAATGTTAAGTATAAGTACGATTCAATATTGAACGTATACCTTACAATTAGTTTAACAAAGTTTAATAGGAACATGTACACAACAGAAAGAGACTGCTGCCAGCGAACATCGATACGACTCACTACATATGTGCATGTTTCTATTATAATCTGCTTAAATTATTGTAAGGTTTGCGTTCCACGTTGAAAATTCTGTACTCGTTATTCAATAAATTGTAGCTCAAGAGATATTGCGATATTATTAAAAAAGTCCTTCTTCTGACTGCTAAAGGGACACATCGTATTTTTTATTTGCTATTTGTAGGTAGATACAGGGGAGGGTGAACAACATGCTCTATATCTTGATGGTGAGAGATGTCGTGTGACCTGTCAAAAACTCAAAGTAAAGTTGCTTATCGATGATTTTTTCTTTTTTTGCTGGCAATGAAATAAATGCTTCTAGACATTTATAACAATCAAAAATCCCTCTGCAAACATTTTCTGTCGTCCGGTTTTGCTACTTCCGTTGTAGGGATTTCGGCCAAGTGTCCGGATATTTTACTTTTTCAACGAATTTTGGGGTATAGCTTAAACGCAGTTTTTTTAATCTTAAGATGATATTGCAAGCAATTTTTTATGTCGGCGAAGGGTTGATCTGCAATGAAATTGTAACTTTGAAATAGGTGTAAAATCGGAACCAAAAGTCGAAAGGTGGTTTAATGGCTCTCAAAATATTTGCATATCTCTCAACTAAGAGTATTGCCCTTTTAAGCATGAATGAAACCATTTTTTAAATTTTAGCTCCAATTTTACACCTATTTTAAAAACCAGGTAACATTTCACCAGGTTGCACTTTTTTTTAATATCAACTATTTGGCAGACACAAAAAAAATGCTGGCAATATTATCTTAGATGTTTAAGCTATATCTTGAAATTCATTTAAAAACGTAAATATCCAGTTATGTGGTCAATAAGCAACTTTACTTTGAATTTAATAGATCACACGACAGCTCCCACCAGCGGGATATAGTACATGGTATTCACCCCCTCCCTTGCACCCAAATACAAATAGCAAGCAAAAAACATAAAATGCTATTTTTTGCAGTCAGATGAGGGCCTTAAATGCTGAAATCTACAAAGGAACATGTTTTTAAATAAACTCCAGATCAAAATTATCGCACCCTCTGTACTTTTATTATTAATTAACAAGGTGGAATCTTTATTGGTTAGAATTCTATCAATTAAAATTAATCTTGGGATTGTAAGGATGGATTCTTTTATTTCGTGGCGGGAATAAAAAACTAAAAATTAGAATGACAATATGTATCAATGTAAATAATTTAATTGACAGGACAAGAAGAAATGAGCTCAATCTTTGTCTTCTATTACTACCACCAAAATGGAGGTTATAAAATTTACCAAAAAAAAAATACACATGTGATGAAATAAAATTATAAAAGAAGGTACATATGCAGGGCAGAGAAGTCACTACAGGCTTACATCAGGTTAACTTTAATTTATTGTATTCGATTTACCTTAACCATTAAGTTTCAAGATCATCGAGTACAGGTAATTAGATTTTATGCCATTCAAGATCAAAATATGCTTTTCATTCAACAACCAAATTTTGTTAAAAAAAAAAATCTGAGTGTGTTATGTGGCCAAATTACAATTTAACGATGCAACAAATTAAGTTAATTAAAACTTAGAGGATTCTATGAAAGAGTAAATTAAACTAATGTTGTTTAACCGATAAAATATTGAAATATTTATCTCCTATGAAAATCTTTGGTTAGAATGTTCATAAGAAGTAAACGAATGTTTATGAAGCAGTAGTAGCAGTAGTAGCAGTAACTGGAGCAGTGCAATAATTTTACACGGGAATTTACCTATTTAATAATATTGAAAACGTTTTTTTAAACCTTCCTCTCTAAAATTTATTTAGTTTCTATTTAATATTTGTTCTCGATTCTATTAAATAGGTACCTACATCTTTTTACCTTTTACTCCTGAAGACTTAATTTCATTTGGTTTGTGTAATTATAAATCTGCACTCTTTTTTATACACTATTTAATCATTATATCTAAAGGTAATTTGAAAGCAAATCTTAATTTCCGAAAATATTTTTTTTAAGGGAACTAGACCCATAATTTTTGTTTTACTTCAAATTAATAAATGTTTTGTAAACGTAGTTAATCTCTACATATTCATAGTGGGCTTAAAAGCAGTTATAAACAGATTTTTCTATACTACAAAAACACTTTTATTAATATTTGTAGCGATTTATTTATGTCTGTGTTAAGTGTAGTGTATAAATCTGTCTTTGCCTTTAAAATTTTAACTGTATGTGGCAGTTTAAATTTTGAGTAAAATATGTTTAATACAACAATGAATAATTCGTATCGTACGTGGCTGTGTTATTCTAATGTTATACTAAAAATTGGCAAAATATTTAAAATCTCTGTGAACTTTTGCATTATTGTGTGCACTGCAGGTGTAGTGAAAGTGTATAAAACCCAACTTACGCTTTGAACTGTGCACCGTCGTCCATACTTAAGCACCCAGCACCACCACCGAATCCGTAACCTTTGGGTCCGTATTTACGACCATGGCAGTTCTTGCAGTATAGTTCAGATTCGTGTTCAGTTACATTGGTGGAGTCCAACATTTTGTTGCACATTCCTACAAAATTTTATGTTTTAACAAAAAAAAAAAACAAAGAATTGCAATAGAGAATTTTGTAGACAGGAGATGTAGAACTATTGACGCGATGGGCAGAAAGGGGAATTTGCCACCAGGTTTTTTATGATTGTGAATAATAAACTAAATAAGTATTTTTTTATTGGTAATGTGAAAATAAGTCAGAGCAATTTAAATTTTATCCCAACTAACAAAGTAGAATTAAAATTTTCAATTTTATTGGTAGTATATTATTGTTTCTGGAATGCTTGTTTTATTAAAATTGCTGAAATCAGAATTTTGTTCTCTAGAACTAAATTCTAATGTCCAATTAGTTTCTACAATATTCTTTCAGCAAAGTTAAAAAATAATTTATACTATAAATATAAAATTGTTACATAGACATTTATGCAACTCTTTTATACATTTCAGCTAATGAAATTAAATTGTTTTATAGTGATTTTATATTGTTCCTTCGCATCGCCTTTACAACTATTTGGTTATAAACATATATTTGTTTCTTGAGTCCATATTAACATTTAAAAAATAATTATATAGATATTATTGAGGAATAGTTCCGCATTAATAGCAATTTGTTTCCCATACATTTCTAAAATAAATCTAATGTAATGTCAAAAAATGTCTGCATTGAACAAAATTATATGGAGCTATTTTAAAACAAAAATTATATTTAAGGATAATATTACTTCTGCAAACATTTGGTAGGTATTAATAATTAGTACCTACGACATATTGTTCGTTACAAAACTTTTAAATGATCGAAATTTAAATACTGCTATTTATTTTGATTTTTGTTTTTTTGATTTTTTTTATTCTTTCTGGATTTGGTACTTCCCATATTTTAAGACAAGAAAGAACAAAAAAGAAGTCAAAAATGTTATGGAGAAAATCAGCCAATGTATGTGAATGTTTGGTTTGAAAATGTCATCCCTACTTAATATTAATAAATGCGAAAGTAAGTTTGTTTGTTACGCTTTCACGCAAAAACTACTTAACCGATCATCATGAAATTTTGTACACATATTTTTAGTTAGTATTTACATAAGTGGAAAAGTATAAAAAAGAAACGACACTCCTTTTTTAAAAATGGTAAAGTACGCTATTATTACTAAAACAATTTGCCGTTTTATCTTAGTACCGATCAAAAACGAAGTATCAGAAGTAAAATTTAGCCAGATAATTATGTTTTGAACCAACATCCCAATACAAAAAAAAATATTTCGGTAATGATGTCCATGATCAAACCGCTTACATTAGCAATATTATAAAGTAAGATTATTCTATAAAGCTGTAGAAACGGTTCTAATCATTTTAATTTTCAACCACTTAAATTGCAATCGATTTAGTAGGGTGATGTTATATTTGATATTTAATAGTACCTATGTGAAATAACTGTATTGAACAGTTTTCTATTCAAAAAATCATATAAGAGCAGTAATATGAAATTATACAACAAATAATAATACAATAATAATAATAATACTCTCCCTAATTCACCCCCTTACGAGTGAATTTTAACCCCAAAAGCTGAGCTTGTGCGGGGAGAGGGACGGCTATTATTATTATTATTATTTGCTGTGGCGCTCCGGGGCGACTTAAAGATGATTGATGGTGCCATTTGACTTACAGGTGAGGAAAACCCGGAAAACCTCACCCACCATCATCGAGCATGGCGATTTTATAATCTGCATGTCATATCAACAAAAAATTAATTTCTATTAATACGGCACATATCAAATCCTAAACCGAACCATGCAATTTAATTAAAAATCCACATAGTCTGGTCTGGGATTCGAAGCCCGGCAGTCTCGGACTCATAAACTTGCCTATAAATGAATATAAGCGCGTTAGACCGCTACACCACCGTCCCGATAAAATCATAGTGAAGAAGGAATGACTTTAAGATTGTTTTTGTCGGAACAACTGATATGACAATAATATTTTATTAAGGTAATTCTGCCTTAAAATAACTTCCTAATACGTCTGAATAGCCGCCATATTTAACAAAAATACTAGATATTTATAAAATTAAAACTACTGTATATTTTTCTAAGTTTATGAGACAAAATTTAATGGTTTTTTTTATCAGAAATAATAATAGCATAGTCTTATCGCTAAAAATAGCGAATTGGGTAAATTTTATTTTTGTATCAGAAATATGAATCAAACTCGCTGCGCATAAAAAAGCCGTATTGTATGTGCTATATAAATATCGGTAATTTTTGCTACGCGTACAAAAACGACTTTATTATGGGACTTACATTATGTTTAAACCGCGTTATATATAACTCCTAGGTAGCTATTGCAATTTTACTATTATCACTTTGAATTTAACCTTTAAATAATGAATTAATTTGTTTTCGCAAAATACATTTAAAAACTTTAACTTAAAGTCTATCAACCACTGATTCCACTGGTTCCAGTGGTCGAAAAATTTTGTGTTTTTCTTATTTCTTCTTAATCTAATTCGAACCACTTTAAAATATGGATATTATTTGTAATATAAAATTTTACTGAATTTGATATGTTAACCACTAAATAAAAAAGTTACTAAACAGTCATAAAAGTTTTAGAAACATTTTTCTAAAGTTTTAGTAAATATGTAACTATTATGTAACTGAATTCAACAATAAATAAATAAATAAATAAACTAACTAAATAGTTATGTAATTCTGCGACCAGTTTGCGTTTATTACTGTTGAAAGAAGGTTCCGAAAATGTTTTTGCCTAATATTTTATTTTGTAATCATTCTTTCAGATGTTTTAAATTATCAAGTTGTTACTTGGGATGTTACCAATTTAATAAATTTAATTTCTTAACATAAAATTATATACTGAATTTTTTTTTTTAATATTTGTTTAAGTACAATTTAAAAATAATAAACATAATAAAAATATAAAACATTAATTTCAGAATTTTACTTTTTTGCCTTCAATTCTGCGAATTCGTATTACAGTTTATTGAAAATGCTACTATGTTGAAATTTGGGATTTTTAAAACCTCAAACACGTAATTTAAGATTTAAAAAATTTACCTCCCTCTGACTTTTGCGAATGGGGCTTACCCCCCTTCGTGCCTCCTAGTCCCGCTACTGCATAATATGAAATATTTGGGAAAAAATTTAAAGGTCATTTAAGATTTATGAATAAAAATATCAATACTTTTCATTACTTCTGGTATTTATTTTTTTACCCAAGAAATTGAACTGATCACTTATTTTCTTAATTAATCATATATTTTATGCATACATTTTAAGGAAATAATATTTTTTTAAAAATAGCTTTTAAGAAAATTGATATAATATGAAAATAACGATTCAATAAAATGTCAACTTCGATTAAAGATACTTACCACATTTGAAACATGTTTTGTGGAATTTGTAACCACCAGCTACTTTTTCTTCGGCAGCATATACGGATTTACCGCATTTTGGGCATTTTGGGTTATCTGCGGGTTTGAAAGGCATTTTGATTTTTGTTTATGTGGTCGGTCTGGAAGAAAAAATATAACTATTTTATTATTAGGTTTCGTCACATTACATCTTCAGAGTTTTAGGATTACATCAAAAGATTGATTTAATCATTGTGTGAATTAAATAATTGGTATCAGGTAATTTGATTCTAATTTTGTAGCACGCATTTAATTTTTGGGGAAAATCAATTTATTGTCTATTTCACTTAATTAATAAATACTATTTTGTTAATAACTTTTTAAAATATTTACTTCAATTTTTGATTTGAAATTAAGTATTAGAGAAGGCGTGTTACTGGTTATTTTAAATATTTTTTTATATAAAAAGCTTTGACTATTTAATTTCTTATAACTTATAATTTTTGAATATTTTCTAAAAGCGGAAGTATTAAATAACATATTTTATACGGTTAATAAATTTGTACACACAATTTTTTTTTGATACATGACAATAATTTTTTTTCAGTAAAGAAAACGATCTTGAAATGAGTCTTAGTTATTAATTTGAAATTTTTTTTTTGTTTAAATTTATTTTTTAATTTATTTAAAGGTTGAATATTATTTAATGCAATGTAAGAAAAAAGTATTGTTTTCGCTTAAAAATCACAATATATCCAAACCAATTTAGTTTCAAAATGCCAATTACACATTAGTATCAATAAAATTTAAAAAAGTAGCAAAATGTTCATCAACTGTAAAACTTCAACAAGCGTTAAGTAATCTTCAAAAATAACCACACTAAAAAATCTGATTTCATAATCCACATGAGAATCACAAAAATAATCCAAAAATTTCGGTTACTAAGCAGCGTCCTACTAGGTCACTTGGCTGTCAGCCACCAGCATAATATTACACAAACACAGTTGCCTAAAATTAGCCGAGAGCAGGCAAAGTGCCAAGAAAACTATTAACAGATACCAAATATGGCTACAGCTACTACATGCAGGAATACTCATAAGCACTAAAAGCACTGATTTAACACTATTTAACACTGTTCGAGTTAAAAAAAAAATTATTGCACAATCGCGGTAGGGTTGTAATATTTTTCAAGCACAGTACCTTCTCGGAATCGTTAAGATGTGGTGGATAAGGCTCAGTTGTCCTCTCTACTACCACTAAATCGAATGTGGAATACGCGGAGGTCCCGACTTAGTCTATAAACTAATTTTGCACACGACACCCCAAAATAGGGGGGCTTGTGACACACCAATACCTCTGAATAAGCTTTTCACTGTTCTATTTTTATGTAGATGCATGTTAAGATGGAGTATATCTACTTATTCGTTTAAAATCAGAACCTTTTTCAGAAATTTGATATGTGTTTGAGTAAATTTTGTTAAAATACAGGAGTCAAGGGCAGAATTTAGGGGTGGCTGTAAACAGTTATATTGTTCTGTTATCATTTAATTTAAATGTTTTTGTTGATGTTCACTGTGGTGCATTTAATGACTAGTCAATTTGTATATTTGTCCAAACAAACAGAATCAACAAAAACTTTTTAATAACATAATATCGTAAGCATTACATGCATGCATTACAAATATTTTACAAATCTAAAACACAAAATTTAGAATTTTTTAATTTTTTCGACAATGTGCATTAAACATTATTCATATCTAACGTATGACTATTTTATGCTGTAGTTTATGTAAAAGAAAATTGTAACAAAAATTCAATATTTTTTTTATCATCTATTATTCTGTTTAAGTTAAGCCATAAAATACCTACATAAGTAGTTAAAACAGGTCCTGAACGAAAATATTTTTCTGTTTTTGACTTTTTAGGAAAAAGGTTCAGTAATTTATTAAAAGGCGATTTATTTTTATTACAAACGTTGAACAATTCTATCTTATTTAAAAATTACTTTTATTGAATTTTTGTATATTTATTTATTTTAAACTGAATTAAAAATAAACATAAAATAGAAATTGCACGAGAATTTTCCACAAATATCCATAATAATAACTTTTTCTCCGTTTCCAACTGATTGAAAGTAATAAAATAGTAATTGGGATATTTGAAATTATTCTTTAATTTTTTTAAATTTTTCAGGTTTCTCTTTTAAATGCATCGATATATGAGCAGAAATCATTACCCTCAAGAAGGACCTTTCAAAAGAGACATGGCATTAACTAATTTTGGTCCTTCTATGTTATATTTTTGAAAATTATCTTGAATTTGCTTTGATGATTCATTTTATGTGACTTTGGAAATATAGTCCAAAAACAAAAATATCCCTTCAAAAATAGTTCACAATGTGTTAGGTATTTATAAAATGGTTTAGATTTTCCTAAAACAGAAATATAAATTTCGAAGACAAATGACAAATGAAAAGTACAACTTTTCCTACTCTGGCATCAAAGTGATCAATTTGCTCTATAGACACAGAGACTGGTCTTCATGACAACTAAAAATTTGACATTTTTTTATTAATAAAATGAACTAAAATTTAATTATTATTTAGCTCGTCAGAACTGCGATGAAACTAATTAACAAAATAATTAACTAAATAACTATTGAATCACAAATACAACCCAAAGTGAGAAAGACTTGATTGACTAAAGTTTTAATGTTAGTCATTATATTTGACATTGACATTATAAAATTGATATTTGAACGTTTATACAGTGTGTAAGTTGGAACCATATGGAAAACTTTTTTTATTATTGGTTATTTTAAAATAGGCATACACAGTCATTAAGCATGAAAATTCAGGTTAGGTGATTATTTACGTTTTACATACATTATTTGTAGTTACAAATTAAATATTCACCAAACCTGAATTTTAATGATAAATGGCTATAATTGCATATTTAAATATAACTTTTAATTTAAAATAACTTTACGTTTTAACATTCTTCTGTATTGTAAAAAATAAAAGTACTTTACTCTTGAGTAAAATTCATATTATTTGACAAACTTCGTATACGGCTCAAAAAAATTATTATATGATGGTTGAGTTATAAGTTTTAGACCATGCAGAACTTTTTATTAAGAATACATTTTTTCACAAAACCAATAATATATATGTTTCCCATATGGGTCCAACACAGTATAAATGATAACAATTAAGTACTTCCACTCTAATTGCTGATGCCACTACGATTTTATGGCACAGAAATGATCTATAGAAAGTCATAACATTGAATGGACTAAAACAAAAAAAATTCTTCTGGATATTTTGCAGTCAGAACTGTGGCTCAAGAAATAGTTTTTTAAACCAGCTAAATGTGTATAAAATATCTAGATATATCGCTGTTCCAGTAAAACAATGACGCAAGTGCAAAATTATAACATTTTGGTTTTAACATGTCATTAGTTTCCAAATTAGTATCTCTATATTATATAACAACGGCGTCAATACTCCTTTTTGTCTGTAAACAAACGCAATACAATTTTTATGTAGACTAATCTCGACATATTTTGTCAACCTTCCCGAGTAAGAAAATAATGCCACCACCGTCGACGACATTGGATTGATAATAAAATAAAATATGGACATCAATGCCATATTTGTTAATGATAATGATTTTCAAGGAATAAAAAGATTGCTTTCGACATTATCATTCATTTCGGAAAATTTAGTGGCCACATATCTGGTGTTGTTGCCAAAAACTTAAAAAAAAACATGTTAAATGTTTAAATTGCATAGAGCTTTTAGTTTGTTCTGATGGTACTGAGAGAGACAACCTTGCGCTCTTCAATATAAAGGTTTGATAGCACCATCAAAAAATAAAATAAAAACATGCACTTTTATCGAGAAAAAATACGTCAGATCTTGTCCTTTACTAGGCCGAAAAGGGTGAAACGTCCAGTAATAGCTTCGCATTCGAAGATCACATCGTATGAGGTTTCTTTTTCTTCCATGCAGAGTCTAGTATGATCATTGTGTAATCTCATCACATGAAGGTGTTTCAGCAAGCAGTGCCCCGTTAGTAATCCCACAATGGTGGATATCTTTAGGGCTGCTTGGCTATCTGAGATAATTAGAGTGGTTTGTTTTTTGTACTTCCTTCTTAAATTCTCTCGTACACACAATTTGATTGCATGTATTTCAGCCTGAAATACAGTAGTATGTTTTCCCAGTGAGACGATAATGTCGCATTTGGGTTAAACTCCATGTACGCCAGAGCCTGTTCCCTTGTTAGTTTTAGATCCATCCGTATACTATACGAGACCGCTAAGAAAGTATTTATCTCTTTATTTACCTCGTTCCAGTTGCAGCTGACCTGGAAGAGGCTGTTGAAGTTTAGGAGGGGTGTCACGTGATCTGATCCCATGTTTAATCATTTACTTCATGTATTATTTTGGTATGTTTTATATGTCCCAGTGGGTTCCAGTTGTTGGAGATTTCCAGTCTGTATGCACTTATTCTGGCCTGCCCCTTTATGACTAGGTAAAGGGGTGGTGGATTTAGAATCATTTCCATAGCAGCTGTAGGTGTACTTTTCAGTGCTCTTGTAATACAAAGGCATGCCAGCCTCTGAACTTCTGAGAGGGTATTGAGGGCTGTTTTCTTGTTTACTTTTGGCCACCAACCTACCGCTCCATAAGTTACCATGGGTCTTGTTATTGCCAAATATAGCCAATGGACCATGTTTGGTTTTAATCCCCATATTTTTCCAAATGCCTGTCTCCCTACAATGAGAGACATTTTACATTTGTTGGTCACTTTTTGTAAGTGTTGGTTCGAAGTAAGTTTGCTATCCAGGATTTGACCCAGATATTTAACTTGGTTCGTTCTGTTTAGCCTTCCTCCAAACAGAATCGGAGTTTCTAAAACCTCCAACCTTGTTTTCCGAGTAAAGGTTATGTGTGGGCATCCCCTGTGGATATTCACCTACATGGTTTCACTGAACATTTGTGCCTGTACTTGTCGTCCGCGTAACATGTCTTCTATCCACCAGCAGCTACCATTGATTTAAAGTAGGTATTATCAAAAGCTCCTTCTATGTCAAGAAATGCTCAAAGGACTATTTCTTGGCTACTGAGCCCCCCTCTATCTTGGTAATGAGATGATGCAGAGCAGACTCACAAGATTTTCCTGATTGATAGGCATGTTGGTTTGTATGAAATGGCCTTCCTATCAGAGTGGTTTGCCGGACATACCGATCAATGCGTTCTTCCAATCCCTTTAATGAAAATGACGTCAGAGTTATTGGTCTATAGGCCTTAGCCACGGCATACGTTGGACGCCCCGGTTTAGGTATAAAAACAACTCTGCTTTGTTTCCAGGTATTTGGTACATGTTTATGCATCAAACTTGCCCTGTAAAGCCTACAAATATGCGGGGCCAGCGTTTCTATTGCCTGTTACAAAAACACAGGCTACCCGTTTAGCAGTTTTCCACACTTGGCTGGAGACTCTTTTTTGAGAGTTCCAGTTCTTGTGGGTTTGGTTTGCTGCATTAGATTTTGTTGTGAAATCAGGGAAAT